TTCAAGCAGAAGGAAAGGGCCATGGCTCAGATGATGGATGCTCATTGGATATAGCCACTTCCTCTAACTCAAGATGCAGAACAGCATGGAGTTTAATGTGAAAGGGCATCTGTTGTCACTTACACAGCATGCTCCATTTATTTGGAGATTTCTACCTTTGTTTCATTTCCTGACCAATCATGTTATCACAACAGTAACATGCAGGATTTGACCTGCAGTCTTACTAAATTTAACCTCTCTAAATCTAAATAGTTTCATTGAAGACAGTGTACCTATTCCAGCATACACTTACTGAGCACTTGAGCTGTGTTATCCAAGAAGGAATCTAGATTAAAAGCCATGAATAGGGGAGTTGATTCTTTTAGCCTGCTCCCCTGCCCAATTGTCTTTTTAATTAGAGTAACAGAAGAGGCAACAAAGTTACTTACGTGCAGTGCCTATATGCAGTTGCACCCCCATTCCACTGCTGCTGCTGCTGCTGCTGTTGCCCATGGTTGTTCTGGACACAGAGGGAGCCCCAGAGCCACTCCTGCCCTGCTCCAGCTGCAGGCTGAAGGGAACAGGTATGCCAGGTGCTGTGGCAGCAGTGGGCAGGTTTCCTCTTCCTTTTCCTGCACCTGCTGCTTTCCCCCCAACATGATTCCTCCTGGCCAGGAGCAGGCACTGGAAGGAAGAACCTACCATGCTTCTATCCCCAGCTACGTATGGCACCCACACAACTGCTCCTCACAGCTCCTGTCTGGAATGGGGCAGGAGTGGCTCTGGAGCTCTCCCTGCACCTGGGTCAGTGGCAGTGGTGGCAGGCACCACTGCCACTTTGTCTAAGTACAGGCAGTCCTCGGACTTATGACACAATTGGTTCCTGAAAACTACGTCTTAAGTCAAAACATTGTAATTTGGAACTGATTTTTCCCATAGGAAACAATGTTATAAATGGGGGTTGGTTCCTGAACCAAGGCCCGATACCCTATTTTCACCAAAAATAATCCAGACTTTTGTACTCAATCAATCATAGATGAGTAATATAGCTACATTAATGTGTTTATATTGTAAATAGTAATCATATTGATTTGGAAGGACTTCTTTGAGGTGACTTCGCTGGACTTTTTGAAGGGCTCTTGGTTGGACTTTTTGAAGGGTTCTTGGCTGGAGTCTTCTCAGGAGGATTGGCTGAAGTTTGTCATCTTAAAGAAAATGTCCAAGGAAGTTTGGACGGATGTTCTCCATGGATATGGGCAATGCAGCAAATTTGTTTGCTGGCATGGTGTGGCATTGGATCGAGCGTTGTAAAGTCGAAACTGACGTCAGAAAGTTGAAACGGTGTCAATTTATAAATGTTGTAAGTGCAAAACGTTGTAACTCGAAACGTTGTAAGTTGCGGCCTACCTGTACAGACAGTCAAAAAGCCCAGGGCTGAATTGACTCAGTCTTCACAGTTTATTCTAAGCTGTGTAGATTGAATGATAAGCAAGTGAACAGACCTTCACTTTTGATTCCAGAAATGCAGCCACATGCCTGCAGTGGCCCAGGCCAGAAGCTGGGGGGCACTAGAGCACCCCTCCCTGCTTGGCTGGAGCAGACAGCTTAGGCCAAGGCTAGCCTGCCCACCCTGTGGGGAGGTGAAGGGGTTGTGGGGGAGATGCAAAGCTGGGATGCTGGGGGACTGAGTTAACTTGAATCTGGAGGGGATCTAGGACAGAAGTTTAATAAACCAATTTAACCAAAACCAGTTAAGTCTGATACTCCATCCATCCAGGTTTATCTTGACCTGGTTTTGTCCATTTTGAAAGTGGTGCATGTGCACTGAACTTTTGTTGTGTTACAGGTTTAAACTGGTTTCTGACAACTTATACCAGTTTATGTGTAATTTCTGTCCCTAGCCCCTGTGTGCCTATTTCCCACTCAGTTCCCTGGTATCCTCTGTCAGCCCAGGGGTTCCAGCCACACCTCACCCCCCTGTTCCCTTAAGGTCTGTGGGACAGTATGTCTCCTCCTTCATCTTTAGGAAATCCTAGATTAGTTCATGCTTATACAGCTCTGAGGGATGTGTTCATTCTTATTTCATTCGTTCACCCAAGTTAGCTCAGTTGAAATGGGGCCGGGCCATTTTAATGCAGCATTGGCATACTATTCAGTTGAGGACAGAATGTATTAGACTTTGTCAGGGAGTCATTAAAAAAGGAAATTGTTATTAGTCTTTTAGAATTCCACCTATCTTTGACACTTGCCTATATCAGGATTTTGATAAATTCCCAAACAATACACTGATCTATTAATTGCTGACTTGTGCCAAGATAGCTAATGTTAGGGGAAGAGGGCTTTAAATGCTGTCTGATATAACAGAAAATGGAGCAAGTAACTAAATCGTTTTTCAGTGGGACATGAGCAGTAAGGCTCTGGATATCACTGTTCTGCAGGGGTGCTGGAGTCCAGCTGAGCATATCTGATTCCGATGACTGGGGCCTTCCCTGCCTCTTGGTAAAGGAGCTATCAGAGAAGTCTGCTGAAAAAATGAATCCCATGCATTCTGCTGACATACCGTCTAAAAATAGATACTTTTGCATTTGCCTCCCCAAACAAGCCAGGTTTTATTTTCAGTTAAAAAAGAACAGCTGTAGAAGCCCCAGCATTAGGGAGCTTTTGCTGTACAGACTGGATGCAAGGTTGCACATGTAGTCTAATGAGCTATATTGACCAGTCTACAGATTTCCACCAATGGGCTGAGCTTTTCAGCATTGATTCAAGAGATTCGGCTGCCCAATTTCCAGTAGTTTTTAATGCCTTTAGGCAGCTTTGTAAAGCTCAGCCATACATCTGGATCCTTGCTAACACAATTATTATTACTATGTTGTGTTGTGGTACTTGGATGCATAGCAGAGCAGCTCTGTGCCTGGGGCAGTGCTGACTCTTGACATGCCAAGTGTGGTGGCACAATCAGTAGGGCTGTGCAAAGCTTCGGTCCCTAATTTGATTTGGCGGAGATTTGGCCCAATTTGGTGGCCTAATCTCTGAATCCAAATCTAATCAGAGGACACTTTAATCTCTCCAAATTGAATCAGAACCCTCCAAATCAATTCAGAGAGATTCGGAAATATTCAGAGATTCGGGCATATAGACAGCTTTAAATGTTTTTTCTACATACCTCTAGGTAGCAGGCAGCTCGTGAGTGCTGCAATGCTGGGGTGCATGGAGTGTCCCACAGAAGTGGGGGGGTGCTCTCCAGCGTGCTCGGCAGCAGATCCAGAAGTGGACCAGAAACACATACAGTCCACTTTTGGGTCCACCGGGAAGCACGCTGGGGGCTCCCTCGCACCTCCCCGGCTCGGCGACTGCTCCCTCCTGGGTCTGGGGAGGGCACCTGGGGTCCCCCTGTGGCCGATCGCTAAGCTGGGGAGGCGCACTCCACAGCAGAGCTGGAAGTGGACTGGAAATACTTCCGGTCCACTTCTGGGTTCACTGCCGAGCATGTGGAGGACCCTTCCACACTCCTGTGGGAAGTTTCATGTGCTCCAGCATCGCAGTGATCACGAGCTGCGCTGGTACCTCAAGGTATATAGAAAAAACATTTAAAGCTGTGTCTATGTCCAAATTGCTGATTCACCGAATCAGCATCAAATCTTCAGATTTGGATTCGGCCAAATCGAATCAGGGACAGTGATCCGAATCAACGAATCAAATCACTGGCCCTGATTCAGGCTGAATTCGAATCCAGATAGAATAGGCCTGCTTTGCACGCCCCTAACAATCAGCTACCACTGGGGCAGAGGTTGTTTTTTGCCTTCCCACAAAGGTGGTACCTGGGACTGCTGCCCTGGCCCCATCCCTTAGTTACGCTTCTGGTGGTACTGCCCAGGAACTCTCCTCCTAAACTATGACCTGCATTAGTTGCTGAACAAACACAGGACAGAGAGATCTTAGTTTGTCTGTCAAAAACCTGTTATAACTATTTGGAAATGGTAGTGCTCACTGCCAACACAAACCAAGCCTATTTCAGGGTTTCTGCATGAGAGCAGCTGCTCAGAGCCTATCCTTTTTCTATAGGTGTTGATGGGAGTTTTGCCGTTGACTTCCAAATGATCAGACTTCTAGTAGGATCAGGCCCTTTTGTGTAGAGCCATTTGGTCCATCAACAGCAGAGTGAACATACGGTATATTGAATGCTTATATCATTGAACTGTTAGCTGTAATTTTATATGGCATGTAATCTTGTCTGGAAGCAGGGGAGGTTGTAGGATAACTTGTAATCTAATCTTTTCTGTCTGTAAAAGAAAAGTTGCTTTTATTATAACTTGTGCCTGCTGCTGAAGGCTGGGGAGTCAGAGCTGGGGAAGCTTTTCTTTCCTTATGGGGGCACATCCTTTGCTCTGCACTCTGAATGTCAAAGCTGACCCCATCAATTGCTGTACCAAGGCTAATCGAATCAGAGCTGCTTCTGATTTCTGACCAGGTGTGACCAACCCCCTAACCCCATCTCTCACTCTGTGGAATTAAAACTCAACATTGGATCTCTGAGGGCAGTCTCTTTCTGACTTGTTTGTTAATCATGGTCCCTCAAGTGCTGGCACTGAGCAAGGTTTGGCCAAAGGGCACTGTCCAGGAGATGCGATACATCTTGTAGTTTGTGAGGGGAGGGGAACAGATTCTTTCATTTCCTTTTCCTTTTCTGCCATAGACCTTGAATAATATGGAAATACCCAGGTGTAAAGAGAAACCAGATTTGTTTCTGCTGGGATGCTGCATTCCTGGGTGTGTCTGTCTGTTAAATCCTGGGTTAAATCCTGCACCACAGCAGAATGGAAGTGATTTTCCTAGTGTCCTTCTACAACTGCTTGTCTTCAGTTCTGCAATGTTGTCCCTCTTGCCACCCCTCTGTGGGGCCCCTTTCCTTTACTATGGTAATAGTGACATTCAGCGGGAAAGACTAGAAGCAAACATCAAAAATCCCAGGCACAGTGCTGGTGATTAATTCCATTTGTCTGTTTGTTTTTAAACCCATCTAGGCTACTTGCTGGCAAATTTCTGCAGCCCCTTCAAAATGCTGGACCAGGAAAATTCAGGTAGACAGCTTGGATAACACCCTGGAAAGAATGGCAAAGGTTTTGCTGTGAGGAGGGATCTCTGCTCAGCTCTTTTATTGCCAAAGGATATTTACCTGGCACTGTAACAGCATCTGCTAGAAGGAGACCCCTTCTTTCCCGTTTGTATATGGCAAAGTTTCTTGCAGAGCTCCTGGGCTGTACATTGCCGGACAAGGGCACCCCTTCCATGTTTGAGGTAGGTGCTGGCATGTGCTGTTTGATCTTTTGCTCCAACTGGGCTTGCAGGTTTTGGATTGTCTCCTGAGGATGCTGCAGCTTTGATCATGGCTTGTGTTTGTTATATATTGGCAAGTACCACCCAGGAGGTGGGGAGCTGGGTGTAGGGCAGGAAATCATGGAGTTTGCCTGTCCTTCTCTGTGTTGTGGTAAGCCTCAGTGGGTTTGCTTCCCAGCTGACAGATTAGCGTATTAGTTGCTAATGAGTTGGAGTTTGATTGCATGCTATTGACACTTGCCACTTGTGCAAAAAGTGTCTGGTTCTCTTATGAACATTTTCCTCTTCTCTAGTTATTTGTATCTCATAAGAGAAGGAAAACCAAATTAGTTAACCAGCTACAATCTAGGAAGGGGCAAGTAGTTTGAAGGAAACCTTTAAAAAATATATTAATATTATCAAGAGGAAAAATAAGGATCAAATTATTTTGGAGTGAAGTCATACAAATCATAAATTCTAATCAGATTAGAAAGGACAAGGACATATTTTGGGAGACAAAATATGCTATCTAAAGGAGGAGACAAACCTCTCTGCACTCTCTACACAACTATTTGTTTTTTCACTGGCCTGGGGACTGGTTTTTATTTTTGTTTAAGCAGTGATTCTCAGTCTCAGTGCTACAGCAGCCTGTTGGAGACCTGCTAAATCCTTTTAAGGGTGCCACTCAATATTAGCATGATTAGGTCTGCAAACACCTCCACACAATTCACAAGATGAACCCAGAAGTTTCAAATAGGAATCCGTACCATCAAAATCATTCTGACCTGTTGTGTTTTTTCCTGAGTTCTTCACAAGAGAATAATTGCTTTCTTATTCTTGTGTAGTAAAACAAAACAAACAAGCGAAAACTAAGAGCTGGCATTTTTCCAAGGTGAGTCTTGTGTCTAAAAAGTTCAAGAACCACTGAGCTAAAGTGATTTTTCAGGTGTAGAATATCTCCATTCAGCTCCCACTTTATACCTCCTCATTCTGTCCCCTAGATAATACAAAAAAGTCTGTTCTATTTTCTAGTTTCAGATAATCTGAGTAAACAGACCAGGTGGAGGTGTAAATTGGAAAGGTTGTCAAAATGCCCTGGTTGCAAGGTGAGGAAATGTTCAGGAGTAGATTACAAAATTCTTTGTGTATCTCGTTACTTGAAATTACACATTAATTCTTTGCAGGCCCTCCCAGTGAATAGCTCCTAAATATTAGATATGTGGATTTCAAAATTTGTGCTGTGTTAATGAGCTTCACACACTCTGCTTTCTGTGCTGTGATTGGATGACCGATGTAAGCAACCATCGGGAAGCAGATTTCAAATATTATAATGTCACTTACAATGTGAGATTTGCTTTCAGCAGATATTTCAAAACTGAAGTGAGCTCATTGCATGCAGCAGAGTGCTTGCTGAACGGAACTGTAGAATAGGAATCAACAGTCAAATTAAGTTTTGAACTAAGAAAAATATCAGCTTTTCACTTTGTTTCAGGCAGGAAGTTGTACATTGTAAATCATTTTCCTCTCTCCTCATGAAAAGAAGCTGAGCATTTCTTGCTACGAGAAAATAGACAATAAATTGTCTTCCAAGAATTGCAGTTACCTTAACTGTATGGTTTGGAAACTGCTTGGGAATGGAAGATTACATTCCTCCTTCTTAGTGGGATGTGTTTAATAAGTGAATAAGGACTTCGAGATTTTTGCAATGTTACTAAATTAAAACTAGTCTGAATGATTTTTGAGCTCTCATTTCCACAAGAACAACAAAACAAGAGAAAGTTTTGCTATTTCTGATTTGCTGAACATAGATGTAGGATTACTTTGGGCCTACTCCCTAAGAGATGAGGTAGGTTTTCCATAGTGGGATCAGAAGTTTCTTTTGTGGCCTCGTTCCTACTGTAGGGGTTCCCAAGGTGAATATTTACACCCAAGGTTTCACTGAAGCTAGCAGGACTCTGAACAGGCATAAGGCTCTGTCTGCATGGATTTCTTTGTAGCATTAGGGCCTCTGGATGCTTGTCCCTCAGCCTTATAAGGACCCTTTTTATATTAATAACAAATGAGCCTCAATCTTTTATTCTTCTATTGGGGAAGTTACACCCTCTTCTCTATTCAGTTCAGTGGAAGTTGCGAATGCTTTTTGTGCATAAGGTGCAAGGGGCATATACTTATCCTATGCAATGCCTTCAATGTGGTGTGGTCAAGAATTCCATATTTAGTTACTGTTTAAGCATCCCAACTGCATTCACAGAGGTCAATAAAGCCAGTAAAGAAAAACAGATGGCGTTCAATATGAGGATGTTCAGAACTTGCCAGAACTGTACTAACACTTCTCCAGTTGGTATCCATAGTAAAACTGAAAATCCCACCCACAGGCTGCATCAACACAAGTCATTGACTGTGCAGTTGTTACCGTGCAGTCATTTAGTACTTGCATATCCAAATACTAAATGACTGCACAGTAACCAGCATTACTGCACAGTAGCATCCCTGCCCAGATTCCTGTTGATGCTGACTGCACAGTAGCTCGTTACTACTATGCAATAGGATTGCATCACAGTTTGTGCTACATGATGCTACTGCGTAGTACTAACAAGCTACTGTGCAGTGAGTGCCTTGTGCAGATGCAACCACAGACTATTAAAAAGAGAAGTAGGTCCAAGAAGCTGCCCTGATATTACAGAGCTCCATATACTGCTGTTAACTGCAGAGCAGCATAATGATGGGCAGACAAATGGAGCTTGGTACAGCATCCACAGCCTTGGTACAGGAGCAGAAGTTCACTGGTGTGAGGGGAGATGTTGCCTCCTTGTTTTCCTGCTAAAATCTGTATTTGAATAGCTGCTTGACACATGTTGGAGCTATTAAAAAATGGAGGCGGTATCCCTCTGCAGCAGTGAACATCTGGCTGCTGCTCCTGTACCATGCTCCACTTGTCTACCCATCAGCACTTGTCCACTTGTCCACAGCAGATCAGATTTTAGTTGGAGCTAAAATCAGCCAGCTGCTCTGTCCATAAGAACCTGGTTCCCAAAGCAGAGTTTATAGAGTCAGATCAATATCTTGAAGCATTCAGTGCCCTGTGAAGAAAGGAGAGCTCTTTAGAAAAAGCTGCATTTCTTTTCATTTTTTTAAAAATTTTGTTTTTGTTTTTATTTTTTAAGTTCAAATGTAATTTGCATAGCCATTTGAATATATATAAAAAAACATTATTTTCTTGCACTTGATATTCTTTGCAATACTCTCATAAAAGTTTGAGAAACCTCTTGGGTTCATCTCTTATTTTTAATTCTATATACAAATGTTTCCTTCTCAGATTATCTAGCATGAATTATCATGCAGGGTTTATTAATATATTATTATTGTTTAGAGCTAATGAAGCATGTTAGGTGCTTTGTAGAGCTGTTGTAACTGCTTTCACAAGCCCTGTTATCATTGTATCTGAGTGCTTCATCATCTTTACTACACTGAGCCTGACAGGACCCCACAAGGTTATAGAAATGCCATTTTACAGACAGGGAACCAGGGCTCTGGCCATGTCTATATAGTAGACTTTTTGTTGGCACAGCTATGTCAGTCAGGAGCATAAAGAAATGTGATGCCTGGTTGATATAGTTGTGCTGGCAGGGGCCTGTAATTGCAGTTAGACTGGAAACAGATGTCACCTTTGTGCCACCATAACAATTTTAATGGTGGTACGAAGGCCAAGCAAACAGACATCCATGGCCCTTGTCCCTTGTCTGTGGCTTCTATTATAGGTGGCATGGATATGCGCCACTGTTTTGCAGTGGATGTCTGTTTATTTTAAGGTGAGAGAACATAGTCAACTCTGAGCTGCCCACGCTCTCCAGTTGCCTTGGCCAGGTGCTCCTCGGGCTTTGGGGCCTGATCCTGCACAGGACTTCCCATGACATGCAAGATCAGGCTCCTGAACCTCAGGAGCACCTGCCCAGGTTTCCCCATTAGTAGAGGCATGTCCTGAGTCTGACATGGGGTGCACCTCTGCAGATGGGGATATCCTGGGTTGCCCAGCTTTAGTCATGCCCAGGGATTCTGACTTGGGCTGTGCCTCTGCAGATGTGGAAACCCTGGGGTTCTTCTGTTTGCAAAAACACCCCCTTAGTGTTGTGCCTCAGGATCTGAGGAGTGGTGGGGGCCCAACCCTGTGGGATAATGGACAATGTCTGTTTCACCCACTGAAGCAGATCAGAGTCAGTCTACAGAGGGCACTGCTGCCAGTGCTGGGATTAGCAAGCAAGAGTTCCTTGCTCTCTGTACAGAGCTTATTCCTCCAGCCCAGACTGCCTCCCATACTGACCTGGGCTGTGGCCTGAAGTCATACTGACTGCTCAAAAAAATTGTAGGCTTAGCTTCTGGTAGTCAGCTTGGAAGAAGTTTGTGGAACCACTTGGACCAGCAACAGCAATGGACAGTGGATCTGAAATCCAAAAATTAAGGAACCTGAAGTTTGTTTGTATAAATTCCAGAAGGCCCAGCTGCCCAAGTGCAAGGTGAACCCTGGGTAGTGTGTGGGACAGAATGGTGATAAACCTCCAGTCTAGTGGTCAGTTTTCACATTAAAGCGTGGAAAGTTACTATGTTATTTAACCAAAAGCTGAGATTTGCCCTCTTAATTTCTGAACCCACACAATCGCTTATGATGGTAGATTTTGTGGGCATTAAACTCTGAGCATATGCCTGCACCTACACCTCTGTGTAGCCATATAGGCGAAGGTGATGCTGTCCATATGATAAATTGTGGAATCATGTAATAAGCTATCTTGCCATGCACCTTTGACTTACTCACCTGTACTTTGCCCACTAATCCACCTTCCCTGACACATTCTTTCTTTTTCTCTCCCCCACCAATGTGATATTCCCTGTCTTTCCTTATCACACTTAGCCCTTCCTAAGGCCGAAGGTAATCAAGGCTAGGAGCTGTATTTCTGACCCTTAGAGTGTATTGACTAGACACCACCATG